AGGAGAGTGAGCAGTTAAGAAGAAAAGTAGGGTAAAGAGTAGTGAAGTTAAAAAGAGGATGGTTTGAGGAATGAGTAAAAGATGGCAAAAGGGGGGTGGATATGTGGGTGTAACAGTGAATTAGGCTACAAAAGTAGAACTGTTCAGTCTAACAAGATGGCAGAGCTGAAGGAAGAGGGAATGAATCTGTAGTGAGGGAGGTAAGTTTTCTCTTAAGATTTACATCCAAAGAGCTTTGCAGCACAACTAAATGTTGAGGGAAAGCCATGCTTGGAGATAGGAGAAAGAAGAATAAGAATCAAGAGCAGGGCATAAGAAGAACAGGCATGAGAATCGGATGATTTATCAACAAGAAAGCTGCAGTCTGCTGGGATAATTGTGGGCAATGATGAGGTGAGGACAAGAAAGAAAGAGGAATCAAAATAAGACTGGAAAGCAAGAAGTTGGGTGAACTGTGAATGGTAGCAACATGGAAAGCTAAAAGAGAGGTGTTGGATGCGGGGCTGAGGTTAGTTAGATTCAGTATAGAATTTGGACAGCAACTGTTGAGAAAAGAAAGGAACATCCTGCTAGCTGGGCAAGACCAAGAAAAAGCCATTTCAGCTGGAAGTTGCTTCTACTGCATTTTGAGACTTCTGCCCAAATTTTTAAAAGGTAGTCTTTTCCTTTCTGCAGGCCCAGTTTTAGGCATGTAATGAATGTGCTATAAGATTATGTACAACTTTAAAATTGAATTATTTTTTGGAAAAGAATATAGAGTCTGTGTTGAAATCAAGGACTGTTTTCTTACAGAAATATGCAGAATATTATTCTGTGCATCTCAACAATAAATGTCTATTTTGGAATATTTTATGTTCTAATTTTTCTGTGCAGTATTGTGTCTTATTTGCCAATGGAAATCAGAAAAGCTGTTCCCTCAATATACAAATGGATATCAAAAATTAACCAGGAGTTACAAGTCAATTTAGATGGAGAAACAAGGAATTTTCAAAAGAAGTTTGTGTCGTTGGCTAGAAGCAGCTGATCTTCACAGTACTCTCTCAGTTTATAAAAGCAAAGCTGCAAGATACAGGAAGAATCTGTTATTTCTTCTGTTCTCTTTTCAATACTTCAAAGATGCCTTTTCATGATCAGAGTAAATTATGGATATAAATAGTAGTTCATGGACTAATGTAAATGAAAATCATGTCATTAGCTGTCCAGAGGATTATTTGGTCATGAAAAAGAAGGCAGGTCAGTTAAACCTAGCCTGAAAATCTGGGGTTTACATGAACCTAAATGCTGTGCCTGCCATATAGTATCTTGCAAAATAAATGCTTAGATAAATATGTGGTTTAAATATTTTAATGGAATGCTATGTTTAAATTCTGGGGGCCTTTTTAGAGGACTTAAAAATAAGGCAGTTCATAAAAAAAAAAAAAAAAGGAATCTAATACCACAGGCAAACACTATTCTGCATTTGTGTAATCCTGGATGTGTGAAGTCCAAGTTGGCTCTTTCTCTTCAGCAGCTGTTAAATATCTTCCCATAAGCAATAGCCTGGGTAGAGTTTGGGAGCCAGCCTCTGAGTTTCCAGGCTCCTGTCAGTTTATATTATACTCACCTTTTATTTTTTAAGGATAAGATTTGATTTTTAGTTGGAAAGGACCCATTAAAGTACTTATTTCCCCTCTCATCAGGACCTAGACAGCAAGTGATTAAAATCTTCTGATTACAAAGCAGTTCTTAATGCAGAAGACATTCTCATAAGACCTCCATCTGATTACAAGGAATCCTGACTGTACCTACATACTATAAGTGATAGATATTTAAAATGTAGACACAGGTAGAAATTTCCAAAGATTTAGGTTCAAAATATAGCTAATTCATTAAAACAATGGAACAGAATTCTGAAGTGTCAATCTAACTTTATGCCAATATATATGCAGCTTAATTTTTTTTAAATCTGAAGAATTTATAAGACTAAAGTACCTTAAAAGAATTTTAAAGAATTTTTTACTGAGATTCCTTTCAGCGAAATGATCTTGTTGAGATATGCATTACAGCCAAATATGTGCATAGAAGTGAAAGGAAACACGTATCTTTAGTATTAATAAGTGTTTACAGTTCAGTTCCCCATCTCCAGGGGATAAAAGAACTGTATATAAGTAATAAAAAATCAGCCAGAAAAAGACCTATATTTTAAATTTTATCTTTCAACATATTTTGATGCATAGAGGAAATATATTTGGTAGCAAAGAATGGAACACGTGTTTGAATCGGGTCACATCTGAAATTCACATGGGTAGGGCTGGGATCTGGGGGGCCATGACAGTGCAGAGTCAGGACTTGGGGCAGAGCAACAATCTGCTTCCCATGCATCCCTGTGGTGGGTGCTGGTTCTGTGGGCAGAGGGCATGCAGGGAGTGGATATGGCCCCAGTCCCATGCTCTCCCCATCCCAAGATCCCAACCCCACCTGCCTGTCCCACTCCCAGACACCGCTCCCCACTGCCTGCGGCCACACTTCACCTGCCCCGCTGTGTGTGGGGCAGAGCCACGTAGGGAATTTTGGTGAGCTGGTGTGGGCAGGGAGGAGCCAGTGCTGACCCAGCCTGCAACAGTGCACCAAAATTCCCTAAGTGGCTCTGTCCAAATAATTGCCCACCCCTGGACTTAAAGGCATCTAATAGCCCTACAAATGAAAGTCTCCTAACTGCCTAACAGGTACAGGATTCCTTCGTTTCATGCTGGACATGCATCCTTGGAAAACGGTGCATAACTCAAATTCACATGAAGGGAACCTGCTTTACAATGTAACAAATAGGGATACGTTCCAAGACCTTGACTGCACTGACACCCAGACCCATTCCTGCCACTTGCAATACAAATTGTGGTACTCTCCAACAGCAGACAGTGCACACAAGCACAGGGCACTATCGACATGGGGATGGCAACTACAGAAACATGTCGCAGACAATGAGCAAGGAGCACAGATCCACACAGGAGACTCTATTTTGCTGCTCGTCGCTTCCACAATGCACTGCACAAAGCAGCTGACTGCGGGCTTCCACCACACAGATCACATGAGTGAATTTGCCTCTCATATATCAAATTTTTGGTATAAAAATGGTCATTGCATTAGAGTGAATTTGCACATACAGAACCCACATAAAGCAAGGAAACCTGTACTGTATAGATAGTAGCAAGCAATCTATACAGGTTTCATTCATGCTAACCAACAAGTGTCTCATAACTGATTCCTCTTTTTTGTTTAGCCACCACTAGGGTGAAAGTTGTTCAATTTTTGGTCCCTCTGCGAAGACTTTAAGTAAAGCCCATTTTACTGAGAGGTGGTATGATGTGGGATTGCTCTGAAAGTAGCTAAGTTTTTGTTGCAGCATTGTTTACGACTTTTTTGGTTTCCTCGTGATCTGTTTTTAAAGAAGGGGTAACTTGATTTTCCATGCTAGCTGTATTAGCAAACAACAAAGCTGGTCAGAAGGAACGCTTTCCTAGAAAGAGAGAGGATGCTTTTCCATGGCTAATTTCCAGACAGCAAATGTGAGCAATCAAAATGCACTCGAGCCCTTAAAATTTCTAAGCCGCATATATATCTATATGGGTGAGCAAACTGGAAGAAAGGTAAAAGCCAAACCTGTTCAGCTGTCGTATTCATCAGGCTTTAAAAGCTATGCAATGCATGAGAGCTGAGTAACAAATTAGGAGTCACAAAGCAAAGCAGAAGAAGGAAGAGGCTTTGACAGAATACAGAAACGTTGCATTGTAAAATGAATCTTAAACAGCTGCACGATGGGCCAGCAAGCACAAGTCAGTCTAGTGGAGATAAAAGTCACCTAAAACTTGAACAAAACTGTCCTAGAAGTCTCCTGGGGATATTTAAATCAATGGCATAAATTAAGGAACAGCAGAGTGTGGTATTTGGTATTGCAAGATTCACTGCATTTCAAAAGGCGCAATGTGCTTTAGCAGAAACTACTGTTGTGAAAAGCTGTAGTGCTGTGATGCAAATCCAGACTTTCTCCATCCAGGTTATTATACGTGCTCTTCTCACTGGTAACTAAGCCCTTCTAGACAGGAAAAACAGGCAGGCTCTTTGGTAGAAGAGATCATTATGTCTAATGGCAAAAAGTTGAATCATAAGTTGCAATGTACATATGGGGTGAGTTTGTCTTCTCCTTTCTTGTGTCAAATACTGTCAGAATACCTCCACAGCTGACAGCTGGGCAACATTTTATGGGGTTCCTTGCTCAATAAATGCAGGCAGATGTTGTAGAGTTTGGAACCTTACAAGGCACTGGAGTATTGTTGATGGGAGGTAGTTTTGATGAGTGCTTAACCTCTATCTAAAAAAGTAGCAGCTTGGAGAAGCAGTATTTACTACAGGAAACATTAGGTTGTCAGATAGCTAAAAGGCTGCAAAGAACTTTTTGAATGACCATGAGAGTCACCAACCAGATGTTGGCCATATAGTAGAGTAATGCAAATTCTATTGGGAGTTAAGCTCATACTTTTCTTGCATCACTTGCCATCAGCATTGTTTCCTGAAGGAACAACAGCTTGTAAATGTAAAATGCTACATGTAAAAATGTGCATACCATATTGAGCAGGTTTACAAAACACCACAAATAACTACTGAACCCTGCAGATTTTTATTTTATAACCTTAAGGGATGATCAAAAATCCTATTGAGTTCTCTCTCTCTCTCTCTCTCTCTCTCGAGCAGTTATGTGATTAATCTGGGCATTGGAGAGAGCACTTTAGTTCATGATTCTTTTTATTTTCACACATATCCATAAGTTACTACTACTGTAGCATCAACTGCCCATTACAGACACCTGCCTTCATCCACACTTTTTCTACCCATTAGCTACTTCTGGCTGTGTTTCACGTACCATCTTTATAAACATGTCTATTCAGATGTGAAAGTCTGTGCTTCATTATTACAATGCACTTATTAGTGGAATGAACCTTCTGTTGATTTTAAATGTAGCAGCTTACCTGTAGCAGCGGCAGGGAATATCTCCTTCCTGTACCGACTGACGGTGAGATTCAGGATCACACAACTCTTCTTTAGTGCTGGCTGTGGGCTTGGTCTAAATTACCCAACAGTATGGCACTGGCTCATGAAGGTATTGAGAATAACTGTGGTCTCACAGCCTGTGGGGCAAAACTTGTTCCTTCATCCTTACTTTTCTGAAAATGAGACAGAAGGGAGACAAAAACATGATTAGTTGAATGTGGATAGAAGAGACAGGAGAGAAGCAGATGTCTGTGAGGTTTATAACCTTTAGAATTTCTTAGGAATTCTAACAATGTGATGAGTTCATTATGAGAAGTTTGCAATAAATCAAGCTTGGGCAATTTACAGTGGCCTTGTATTTAGGTAAGCTTTTGGCTGTAAGGAGGTATGCTATTAGCGTCAGGAGAGGTGTGTAGAGATGTTTTTTATTGGAAAAATCATATGAAAATAAATGCTGTTGTGGGTAGTTTTACAGAAATAGACATGGAAAACACCACGCTGAATCAGGACTGCCCATAATTTAATAGGGATGCAGTGCAGGGCACTGGGTTGCTAGTAGTCTTTTGAAAGATAAGCAGTCCACTGACAGTCTGTAATGAAGCCTTCTTGGAAAAGGGCACTCACGGTATTTCTGCGCTGAGACTTAAGACCAGTGCCGAGGGTTGTTCTCAAACCAGTCAGCACTATATGATCAGCCCCTCTCTGTCTGTGTCTTGCACCCTATACTAAAGCCATTTATAATGTGCTCCCTGTTTTGTGAGTGGACTCCTCATAGGAACCAGACTGAAAATTACTTGTTTCTTGTATGCTTTGCTCTAATTTTGTGCAATAGAGACCAGAAGTAAGAGGTACAAGGGCTGGAAATGAGGAAGAGGAAATACTGGGAGTCCATGATGAGGGAAACCCCATATTGGCCTAAGTCTTCTGACCCCAAAACCAGTAAGCCCCACCCTGAGCCAGCCCTGGCTACGCAGTTTGGCAGAATCACCGTCAGGATCAAATTGAGGGGTTTTCATTGCTGATAGACTGCACTGGCTCTGAGTGTTGCCTTAACATTGATCCTAAATAGCTAGGAACCTACCAAATTTGCAATCGCATGATTTTTGCAGAAACCACAAATTTGGGTGGATTTAATGGAAAAAATGGTGGGCTTCACAATTTTGGTGGGCTCACTGCAAAAAAAACCCAAACCCCATTCCCCCTCAAAACAAAACCAAGCTGCAAGCAGAGAAAAGGATGGGAAGCGTTGGAAATCCTGCAGTCCTGAAGTACAGGGGTGAGGGAGTGGAAAGGAAGAAGGAGAAAGGGAACAAATCAGAGGCTGAGCCCCTGACATAGGCTCAGTCCAGGATCCAGTCTGGAACCAGTCAGGGAAGCAGGAGGGTTTTGGTACCAGCTTTTAAAGCAGCCACAAGCATACTGGCACAGCATGCTACAGCCTGAGGAGAATTCTTCAGCATTACCACTGAGAAAAGAAATCCTACAAGATGGCCAAATGCATTTCAGCACTGAACCATGTAAGACAGTATCCTGCAGGGACCTTGTGCACAGATGGAAGCAGACTGTTCTCTACTGCCTGCAGTGTGACTCTGGATGTGTCGAGGAAAACCAGTATAGATCAATATTTAGTCCGAAGCACATGAAGCAAAAGGCTGTTGCAGAGACTGAAGGTCAGAGCAAGAAACAAGCAACCATGTCCTCATTTTTAGAAAGGACTACAGAAAACTGCTTGGTAAGGTGAGAGGTGGTGTTTGCCTTCACAGAGGCTTTTGCGGTGGCAAACATCCTGCTGGAGAAACTTGGTCACCTGAAGTTAAGGGACTACCAAAACGTGCCAAATGCTGGTAGTTTACCTGTGCCTCCCTGCAGTGATTGCTTTGTATGTAGAGTCCACAAAGTCTGCATTGGCAGAGTATGACTCTTTCTCCATTGCAACTCATGAAGCCACCGACCCTCAAGATAACTACATGCTGCACATTTTATGTGTACTGGGGAGCCAGACAGACAAGGACATGCCTGTGTTTCAAACAGAGCATGGTCCAGGTCATGTCTCTGTTGATTTATTTATTTTTCTACTGTCTCAGGCCATAGGGAAGGTAATTGTGAGCTTAACAAGATCTCAGCATTCCTGTTACAATGCCAAGTTGTGCAAGGCTTTCTCTGATGTGCTCCAAGGAATGCTGCCCGATGCAGTTCATGTCACCTGCAATGAGCGCGTTCTGTCTTTAGTAAGTCATATCTGGTGCACACAGTTCCCCAATGTGGTTAGCCTTGTGTGGTTAACCAGCAGTTTGTGAGCAAGGAGCTGGAAATCACACCTACCTCGCAGTGCATGCTTAAACTTCACGATCTCTTAAGGTGAGCCGATATTCAAGATCAAGTGATGCTTGTGGCTGAAAATGCTACCTGGTTCATGGAGCTTCTAATGTGGCTTGAAGACTAGCAGGCTGTGATGCACTGCACATGCAAACTGATGAGCTGGGTTGAAGACTGGACATCACAAGAACTATCAGTTTGTCCTCATGAAAACCAGTGGACACCAGAACTGTTCTCGGCAACAGATGTGAAGCTGAACCAGTACTACAGGTACTACCCATCACGGTCACTGCAGTTCAGACAATCAACTGCCACCTTCCTTTGTGCTGTTTGCAGTTTGGACCACAACCAGTGCCTGTTCCAAGTTGTGACCCTCAGCTACTGAAATCAATCCCTGAATGGCACGATAATGAATGTGTTGCTTATGTGAACTTTGTCAGAGTGCTGGATGCCTGTGCCTGTGTCAGGGACACTGCCTGTGGCTGGTTTCTGCATCTCTATGTCCTTGCAAAATGCTGCCTCACCATTCCAGCAAACTCAGTGGATGGACAAGTGTTCACCCACAGAGACAGAGAATGTCTCTCTGCAGCACTGGGGCTGGATGCAGCATGCTAGCATTTAATAGCTATCATGAACTGTTCGTCTCAAGGTTAGCATTCAGTTTTAGTAAACTCTGTTTTACAGTGTCCTTTAATATATAGTTGATGTTAGTTAATAAAGTGTATAGAGTCGGTATTGGTTACAATTCATGTTGTGTATAGATTTATTAAAATAAGATATTTCAGTTTAGAGTTTAATTAAGTGCTTAGATTGCGTAATAATGGAATGCTTAATAATGTATCACTTAATGGCTTCCTGGCTTCCCCTGATCAAGCTCACAGAAGCCATTAAGGAAAATACTGTTAAGCAATTAAGCCACAGATTTCGGGCCATCTGGCAATCTCAAGGGAGAGGCGAGACTGTTAGGGCCCCTCAGAGGCACAGAGTGGGGAGGTGGCCTGCCACGTTGAGCTTGCAAAATTGGTGGCCAGCTCCAGGATCTGCCCATAAAATCAGCCAGCCACCTCCTTGAGTTTGGTAAACCCCTATAAATAGCACTGTAGACGTACACCCAGTAACTTCTCAGAAGCCCCTGACACTTGGCTTTCCTTATTCGTTCTTATAAAGTGCTACTATGGAAGTTCTTACATTTTATAGTGAAATATTGTGCAACTGTACGGGGGGCAGTCTATGAAAATGATATACAAATAATTTGCATAGTTGCAAATTTGTATGTTTGTAAAATTACTGTAAAGTTCACCTTGAGGTTAATATGCCTTGTGCTGACGAGTTGTGCAAGTGGGACATAGCTACTCAAAAACAGTCAGCTGGGATAGTGCTCAAGGTGGATGAGGATTTTAGTGGGTCAAGAGAACCTGGGGCTTTGTGGTGGTACCTCTGGGGTTCCTGGAAGTTTGCTTCAGAGCACTTACACTCCAGATCCCTGTACAAACCTAACTAGAGGGAAAGCCAGATTTCTGGAGGTCTTAGGCTGGGGATAAGGACCAGCTCTGTGCCACTCATCCAGCCTGCAGGGCCAGGTGAGTTTGCCACCCTTGCTCTGTAGGAACCAGCAGTATTACTAGGGTGGTATGAATGGGACGACAGCCCCAGGCACCAGATTTGCCTCCTGGGAGTCTGTCATGGTGGGAGCAGCCCTGCTTGGCCACAGGAGCTGGACAGAGCAGTGCCACACCATCAGTGTATCTGGCAGGTGAGTGAAATGGTGCCCCCTTACCCCCTGGGGAACCATTGCCAGAGCAGGTATAGTTCTGTGCCTAGTATGTACCGGGTAAGGGAGCAAATGGGGCTCCAGGGTCAGCTCCCAGGGACCCTAACCACAGTGTTGTTGACACTTGAGTGGGGCTGATGTTGCTGCAGTGGTGGCAGAAGTAGCCCTGGAAGGTAAGCCTTCCTTTCCATTCACCTACACTCCCCCCTGCCGCCCCCACCCCATGTCCACAGTGGTCAGCATACCCCTCTGCCCCCTGTACTCAATGAGCTTGCTGACAGGTAGATTTTCAGTACAGTATATTTGAAGAGCTATTCTCTTCTAGACCCAGATTGTTTTATTACCAGCTAAATGTTTTTAAGCTACCTGTGAATGAGCGCATTGTGACATTTAGCAACTGATTTGATTGAACACAGATGTGAGCTGCGCTCCATATGGAGAGGATCCAAAGGGAGAAATCTTAGGCTGTATTTCTGATTTAAAAATGGGAGTTTGAATGCAAGCTGGATGACACTGACCTACCAAGATAGACAGATAAATGTCTCTTATTCACACATCCATAATGCACCAAATATAGCCAGAAAGTGAGAGAGCAGCTCTGGAGATTAAGGAGAAGCACTGAAAAAATATGCACCTAATTATTAGTGCCACACTGTTGTTGGATGATGATAATAGTCTTATTAGGAATGGCCAAGTATTTCTGCAGTCAATACAATCTGGTTGTAGAACCTTTTGCTTCCCCCCACTCATGTAGCAGGTCTAGAGATAAATAAATTAGTTACTCAGGGACTAAAGAGTCAGGAAAAACATAAATGCTGATGATTTAATGATACTTTTGGAAATTCCTTCTCAAAAAAAGTGGTATTGTGTGTAGAGGAGCTGGAGCCACTGTATACATCAACTTTAATGATGTCCTGGTTGAGGGTTTGACTCTGGAGTTTTCACCTGACAACTCGTGCAACTGATAGGAAAAAAACCTGTAATCAAAATATTTAAGAACTACTTGTTCTGGTTGGAAAAAAAAAGTAAGTATTTCAAATGTTCATACTCAGTTAGCAGGACAGAGGTTCTGAATTATTACTAGTC